TCTCTCTCTCTCTCTCTCTCTCTCTCTCTCTCTCTCTCTCTCTCTCTGTCTCTCTTTGAAAGGTATTAGTTACTAATGCCGCAAATTTTTCTAAAATTTGACTTCACTCAATAATTCCCAGGACTAAGTGGGAGAATTCTTTGTTTCTTGCAAAACTCGATTTTATTCATCAATTAAATTTCTTTTCAAGTAATAGAGTCGTTCAAACGATTTGTCAAGGGCCTTGAAATGTGTCTCAGTTTCTGCAAGAAACTCATTATCGAATTCAAATCTAAATTCAAATTTCATCTGCCATCACATACTATATGAAAAGATTATTTTATTGCCGCTAAGCAGCTACGTCAGTTAACGCTACGAATAATTAACATTAACTCTCACTAAACGCGATAGTCATATGGAAAACATCGCTCTCTTGAAAGCCTCTCGGAGGATTAAGTCTCTGTGAAAATGTTATGTATTTTTTTGTCAAAGACTTCATGTAGATGTTAGTCCCGGGAAATATTGACTGATGTGTGCAAAAGGTATAAACTAAAATATCTGACACTCTTTTGTTGCTATGGGAACCGGAAAATAACACCTCAAAATCTTATTTCCAATTAAGTAAAACCTGTCTTGTGTACATAAATTTTTATATGATAACATACTTACTTACATAGCAACAGTATCAGGCAATGTATGAAAATCGCTACAAATTTTTTTTAATTACTGACAACTTCAAGGGTAGAACAAATCTATTTTTAATAGGTTGGTGATGCTGTTCGTGAAACACTCCGGGCTATATATATATTTCTAATTTTAATCTTTTGAATTTCATAGAGCTTTTGTATTCCACATTGCCTTTGGCGCAAGGGGATATTAACTTTGTGCAGATGTATGTAAGACCCAGAAAGACCTGAGACAGACCCACGTTTTATCCATATAAGCTTGTCTGCCCATCTTTCTGTTTTGTGTTCTTATGTTGAGTCTACATGACGCAATCGTTGAGTTATTTTGATAAAAATTAGTACACTAACGTGCTTTAGCCCAAGGGCGAATATTATTGAAACTCGTTCGAATCGCATCACTTTTTCGACCACTTTTGATATAACACTTTACTTTCAAACGTCGTTGTAGGTGACTTAGGGTATTTAATAGTGATCCGTAACCCACTGTGTTTTTACTTGCTTTTGTCTTTACGCGAAAGGATGCATAAAAATCCTTTAGAGAAAATTAATTTTCTGATCTCACTTAGTCTATTATTATTATTATTATTATTATTATTATTATTATTAATTTCACCAGAGAAATAAATTCTAAGACTAAACTCTTAAAAGCACTAACATCTAAGGCTATCGGCTTTTATTAAAAAGTCTACCGCACTTGAGATTCGAACCCACGACCATTGACTTGCTAGTCGAGATTACTCGCCTACGGCTACTCAGGCGGAATCACTTGGTCTAAATATGGACATTTTTAAGGAATATTTAGGTCCGCGCAGATTCAGATCAACATTAGTGCAGGTTGTAGATGATTTTGTACCTGTGTAAACCTCCCTCTACCGTTTCGTCACTTAGGCAGATTGTGGAAATCGGCTTATGAAGCTAAACAAAGTACCCGCAGAAGAAACTTTACCGTTGCTCCAACAGCAGATGAATGACTAGAAGAATTTAAATTTAAGATTTTACTCTACCTAGGTATATGACCTATGCGCCTTGGAAAATAGTTAAAGTGGATTATAGTGAAGCGAGGAAGGAATACGAAAAAGTTTTATACATATGGCTAATATTTTATGAGCGCTAAACATTCAATCATTCCTTTATTCACAACTAACTATTTTATTGATCCACATAAAAACTGAAGAACATAAAGCCTTTTTTCGACCTAGATGTGCCAGCTGGTAACAACATTCGTTTCAGTTTACATATTGAAATCTGCTTTTAAAAAAAGAAAGCACAAACTTACAGCAGCCCTTATTAAACCTTGGCCAAGCGCATTTGATCATCTGTAGATTACAAAAAAATCATAAGACATTGAAATATATATATTCATCTTCGTCTTATCAATGCGATGATAAATCAATTGAATTTGTGTAAAAATAATTTTTGAACTTTTGCACTCAGGAGTCTGCGTTGAAGCCTGCAAGTTTCGTTGCCATTGTATAAAAGCACGTTTCAAGAATTCAGAATTTTCTATTATTTCGACGCTTACAAAAGTGGTCTCACTAAAACAACTCCAATTTGTCAACTATTTGTCGAAATGTCTTGAAGTTTTTACACATTCCGTTTCAACAGTCGGTAGTACCTAAAAATCATATGGGTTCTTAAATAGTGGCGACATCTGTATTACGCTATACAAACTTACTGGATGATGTGTTATGCATTCGTACACTTTCACTTCAAAATCCCTACCTTCGATATATTTAACAAATGGTGTTACTGACCCACCATTGATTTTAAATAAACTCAATTTCAATGTTCATATCCCCCCTTCAAGGCACTTTCTTTTCATTTGCCAAGGCAATCCGATTAGGTTCCTTTCCAAAAATCTGGACGATGTTTATAACTTATTTTTTTCATTGTATTACATACCGTGATATAAATCCGTCTCAATGCTCGAATATTCGCGATGTCGCATATATCTAAATTAAAACTTTTAATTAACAAAACCCCGCTAGAATTTGTCAATATACTAACTCGTGTTGTTATGAGAAGTTGGCAAAATTTCATATGTTCGTTCGCGTTGGTTCATTGGCGCACATCAACTGCGAATGAGTTTCTAAGCTAGATAAGCAAATGTTTTTTCCCTTTTCTCTATCTGTCATCTCCTATTATATAAAATATGTAGATTTTGTTTTTCATCTCAGGTTAGAATACAACAATTAATTTTGATATTTGATAAATAATACTAGTAAACAATAATAATAACGCAACAGTAAACACAACTCAAACAAATTCTCATTGTTCATTGTAAATAAATTTAATTTCCTTTGGAGCCATTGAACGGTTTCTTATTCACTCTTGATAAAGGCAAACATCATTTATTCTGTTTTTTTAAAACATTTCTTTACTTTTTGATTCACATATATCTCTAATTCATCGAAGCAGAAATTTCTGAAATCTCTTTCTTTGTACATAATGTAAAATGAAATTTTTTTAGGTTCAAAAGACAAATTATTTTACGTTTTTCCTTTCCATTATTCTGTGTCTCTCTCTCCCTCTCTCCAAATGTTTTTTTTTTTTCAGCCGAAACCTGCACTTCAAAAAGAAAACATTTGAGAATTATTAACATAGGTTATGTATTTCTTTAGAGAGTATTAAAATTTGCAAAAGCTGTAAAATTTATGTCCATACAACATGGAACGAAGATATGCTCGAATCTTAGATACCCATTATCATTAATAGTGATAGGAATTATTTGAGGCTGCAATTTTTGGAAGATTCCATATTTTTGAAAGAGTCCAGATTAATCCATATCGAAAGTAAGTTTCAAATCTTTCTTATATTCATCGCAGCGCTAAGATAATTATGACAAGAGAAAAGCCATATAAACTTACCGGAGATATTCATTCCTTTGACCATTTTTGCTTCTTTTGTAGTAGACTTACCTCGATATCACTCTCCTCTGCAAGAGCTTCTATGTTTATATAATATATGAATGATTTTCATAATTTAAGATGCTGTCCAAGATATAAGCATCAAAGTTATTCATGTTAGAGCTTCAACGCACTGTAATGTGTTCCATTATAGACGCTTATATTGCACATCGCATTTCTCGACGACGGGTGTTTGGAAAGGGTCTGCTTGAATGAGCAATCAGTTACTATGGAGGTACAAGAGTTAAAACAGATTGATTATATTATTAAAAGGGTAAAAGAAGCGGTAGTGTGATTGAGTGGCTAGCATTGCAGGGTCGATGCTTTTTCTTGGACATGGAGAAAAAGCTAGATGACGGGTAGTCCAAATTCACGAGTACCTAAATGCCTCGTAGAGTAAAATACGTGAAAGCATTCACGACAGTCCTACGCGGAATATTGAGGTGGCTGTGGTTACCCAAAAATCACGGGGATACCAAATAATTAGACGTGCTGCATAGACCTCGTCTTGCCCCTTATGCAATACCTTTTATGTGCCAACTTTGGTATAGCCTCTCTAAGGGATGTAGACTTATCTCACACGATATGGAACGCACGTTATCACTTACCTGAAAATGCAGAAAACTCAACGTTTCACTCAATTAAGCTATAAAGGCGGGTGTACACATAACGTTACGAGTTATCTGTACATTTTTATGCTTATATTATGCAGGAAATATCGAAAAAGAAACGAGAACTTCTTTCGCACGATTTCACTCAGCAAAGATAACTAAGGAATCCTTGTATAAAATTTCCTTTTTCTTTGAACATTTTTGTAGAACTTCATACTTCAAAGAAATTTTTGTATTAATTTTACTTTGATTTATAAGAAAAAATATATTTTCTCTTAGTGAACAAAAAAGAAAAAACAAAGGTATGTATGCATTCCTAGAACATGAACATATACACATATTCATATATTTGAAGTTTATTTGTACGTTTGCTCGTCTTATTACAATCAAGAATCGTTTTTCAAAGCATGTTGGAAAGGTACATTGCTCTGCTGCAATAATTTGCATACAGCAGACCAAAGTAAAATGTAATCTTTATCAAGAACAACATTCAACCGCATATTTTATATATACACACATTTACACTTGTAAGGAAATCGAAGCATAATAAACATATTTAATGGTATTCTTAAAGAAAGCATTTTTCGAGAAGAGCACGAGAACGTTTCTCTCTCAAGTTCGAACTATAGAGAAAGTAATTTTGTTATAAAATAATGCAAGTTTATGATTATTGTAAATGAAAGCATTGCTGCACTTGTTGTTACAGGTGCTATAATATTTGGATCGGATCAAGAAGTACGTGAAGTGATGCGTGCTGTACGCCGTAATAATGCGACTGGATCATTTTCTTGGATCGGTTCAGATGGCTGGAGCGCTCGAAATCTAGTATCTGATGGCAACGAACCAGAGGTATGTGTAAATAGAAATTGAACGAACATTACAATATAGCATTCACAACACTATAAAATTGTAACATTGCAAGTTTCTAAAATCCTATTTTTTTTACCCTGTCGAAGAACCCTGTGAAGAACTTTATATATTTTAAAAAGGCCAAAATGGTCGCAGGCTGTAAACGGATGAACGCACATGTTATTGACAAGTTAGGTACGGAAGTAATGGAGTGATGATCGGCGGACGATTTCTCTACACGTGCTAAAATTCATGAAATTTTATATTATGCCCAGGGCCAATCTATGCTTTGGCCTACTTACGATCTGCATCGCCCCATAACTGTATATGGAGGACCCTCTCTGCCATTTTTAATCTCTCTTTTATTCTCTGCTGCAAGCATAGTCATCAGTCAGGCATGTCAATTTTTCTATAAGACCGTGGTGATATTTAATAAGTCGTTACAGGGTTGCATTTGCAACAAATGTTACAAACACTGAATGAAAGTTTATAAACGAAATAAATACGTCAGGTATGTTTTACAAAGCAATTAATTTCAGGAAACAAAACGTATTTATGCACCTAACATATTGTAACGCGAACTGTCTTTTTTTGCAATCTTCACGTAATTATTTCGCTTCTTTTCTGACTAAGTTTGTATCCCTGAATTGTGATTCTTAGGCTACCATAGGCTTTACTTACAATTTTTATGATAGTTGTTTGCAAATTATTTACTGGAACTTGTATTTGCAGTTATTCTTCCAGATTTGTTCGTTGGGCTATTCAGTCAGTCTTCACTCGACTGACGTTGCGTTCCGTAAATATTCTGTTTATATATCCTTTTACAAGCAAGTTACGAGTACATAACTTCATTGTGGCATTTTTGGGTCAATTCCTTTCGTTCGCGGAATGTTATGCGAATTGTTAATCTTTTCGACAATCGCCAGCTGGATGTGGCAGGTAAACCGTCATGAATGGGTGTTCGGTTTTATCATTTTTGGTTGAGTTTTCATGCAAACTCAAATCATTAAGCGAGGATGTCCGTAACAATATCAATTACCGAAAGAATTTGTAATCTTGAATAAAACGCACACAGCAGGAGTAAAGCTGCCCTTGTATGTATGAGTTGACTACTTCCATCCGAACAACGGTCTGTTTGGCGCATGTTCTTAATATCTTCATTGTTTCAAAAATTTTAAATAAAAAAATTGTTTTTAAATACTTAGATCGTATGTTAAGCAGCCGCAAACAGAATTATACACAAATGATGGATGATGAGAATACCTTCTAACACCAATAAGGTTTATTAAATGTTTTAGTTACTTATGTATGTATCTTGATCATCGCAATAGTAATGGTCAAGGGGGGTTGGTAATTATGGGAAATTGTTTTAATCCCTTAAAGGCCCCGCTCCAAGAGTTCTGAAATTATGACCCCATTGAGATGTTTGGTTGTACTTGGAATAGTTCAAATAGTTATCAAAGAAAAAACAAATGTACTTATTATAGGGTTGCGAAAGTAAACGTAAGCAATTAACCCACTTCTGACTGAGATTCGGATCAAATTTATTTTTCAATATAATTTTTAATATTATTTTTTTATTCAACATTTGGAATCTTGTCATTATTTGTGGAATACAATACACACATAATTATAGAACGTGCAGATATTCTTAAAACTTATTACGTAGACCGTGAGCACATAATTACGTTTCGTACACGAGGAGTAAGGTTCACGTTTGGTTAAAATGCTTCGTAAATGGGGAGTGCAGCCCCTTTCATGTTAAGAAAATGCAGCAGTTTGTCCTAAAAGATATTTACAAAATAACTTTTGGGTGTGGTTTGTGGGCCGAAATTGTTATTTTTGAAGACGACAATTGCATTACAATTAACTCCAATGCAGAACGATACGAAAACATGATTAAATGATCTTTTGTGGGACGAAGTAGATGATTTCGGCTTGGGCGATATGTCGGTTTAACAAATTGCTGCAATATCTCATCCATCTCGTGACATCGTCAATTTTTTACGAGAAATCTCCGAGCACCAACTAAGATAATTCTAACGCACATTTTACTTTGAGGTTATGTTGGAGCATTGGCTTAATTCAATACACCGCCAAGTTTCAATGAACTCATTCACCACGATTATTCGCGTTATTGATTAAATGAAAGCCGATTTAGGTGGAAAAGTGGCAAAAATTTGTGCTCCAGTATTGAAGATTTACAAAAGTCGACAGCGCATGAGAAAGGCATAAACCAATATTTAAAATTCTTGTTGATATCTCTTATGTTTACAATGCAATTATTTTTGATGTTCTTCCTAGTCACAGTCATTGCTTTCCAGAATGACTCCTCACGGACTCAAATACACATGGATCTATTTGGGTTTCCGAATTTGCAACTTTTCAGCACGGTGTTGCCATTTTCTATTATATCTATTTGTTATGGTCGGCGTTGCCCATCGGATGACAATCACATTCGAAACCAACTGATATGCTTTTCGGATGCGATAACCACCCTGTCTTCCGGTCGATTTGTAAAAATAATTCCTACAGTCGGCCAATTTACTGACAATATATTTATTGACAATATATATATATATGTACCCGAGAAGAGTATATATAAAGCAAGATAATTCATGATAATATGTACATATATGTATGTACTTAAGCTGATATAATATGGAATTAAATAATGAGAAAATGCAATACAAAGTTGAATAATACCAATAATAGTAACAAGTTGAATAATCGCAGTAATGAAAAAATACTATATATACATAGAAGATAGATGAAAACCGAAGTTTATGACCAAAACGACCTTGGGACTTTCGTCCTCACAGCAGTGATATTAATTTGCGGCCTTTCTCAATGTTTTCCCTTTCTTTTCAAACACCACCTCCTATATCTTCCCTTCTTAATCTGTAAATACATCTTCATTACCGCCTTTCGTAATTTTTTGTTCAATTTCTACTGAAATTCGCTAAAAATTCTCAAAGTCATTTGAAAAATAATAAACTACAGTAGGGATCATGTTGAAATATCGCAATCTCCATTTCTAGGACGGACTTACGACAGACTACGAAAGACAAGAAGTTCTGGCAGTGAAAATCGAATATTGATTGGAATTTATTGTGATGTACGTGCTGAGTAGCGAAGCAGCCTCTACACCAATCACTGGGTTTTTCTTTTTGGCTTAGTTAAAGAGAAATGCATGCTTTACTTGGGACTCGAAAAATTTCCATCTTAATTACAACTCCGACCTAAACGACAATCTTAAAGGGCAATCGATAACTATTTTCATTTCTTTTTGTATGCCGCTAACAAAAATGTTTCACCCAAATTTCAGATTGATCTCTATGCCAATAGTAAAACTTTATCCTGTCGTGGTATATGGCGTACAAATCTATATTATGAAGAAAAACGACTTTCATTTGTGCGCAAATAAAATGCAACATTTTTTTTTTAGTTTTGATTAATAAAAAACAAATATGAACATTTAAACTTAATGCATTGTCATTTATGTGTAAACATAAATTTATTTATATTGAAATATAAAAATAAAGTTGCACCAATGGTAGTGTGCAACCGTGGAGCGTCATTTAAATTGCAGTCATTGGAAAGAATTGCGGTCAAAAGAAATTGTGCGATATGCAAGCGATGTTAAAATTAACGAAAGTTTAAAATACGAACAATTAAATGTGCAACAGCTTAAAAAATCGAATGTCAATTGCATTAAAAAAACACTGGGTTTGTCAGCATATAACAAGATGCAAGCAGAAACACTTTACACGTTAACTCTCGCACGATGGCAAATGTGGCTCCTTCCGCTATTGAAGAATTTTGCAATTTAAATTTGTTGCCTTAACAAAGCACTCACTCCTTGTTGAGAGAAAAATTTGTTGTCCAGATTCAATTAACTTTTTGCCCGCTTGATAGGAAATCTGACAAATATAAAAAGAAAACTTGATTGCACGGGTCTGCTGGAAACTATGGATATTTCGTATCGTACGATGCTTCTACTCAAGTCCAAAATATTTGAGACTCTGTTAAGAGCTTCACAGTGATCCGAAAATGCAGAAATACAACCCAACTACAAACAACCACCGAGTACTAAGACCCCTCGCCTGAACATAATGTTTCACCATCCATTTTCAATGTACTGTAATAATATTCGTATGGCTCATATCGAGTCATTTTAATTGTGAATGGAAAATTGTTCAAGTCGTCTTCCAGGATCCTTTTAATTTCATTTTCAAAGTGCACCGGTGCTCCTAGAATGTCGCGGCAGCACATCCACATATGCGAAATATTCCGAAATCGTATGCTAATAACTTAACAGACCAGCGTTCTAATCCGAAAATCGCTACCAATGGTTTGCGGACTGCATGAAGCTCAAAGCTTTCTGTCGCAAACCATTTCGAGAAATTTCGTAACCGCAAACAGTAGAGTTAACCCTTCATTTTAAGTTTTGGCTTTAACAGTTCTCCGCTTGCGTAAGTGCTCTGGTAGCGTGACGTGTAAGTTTATAATACATATGTTTATACTCACGCGGAATATAGGCACCTAAAGCGTATTGCAAAACATCAGCGCCAAAAATAATTTCTTTTGTTGGATAAGAAAGTGTGAGCAAATTAAGCGAAAGTATTTCTTTTAGTTGCTTGAACCTATTACTGTGAACTTCAGTCCATTGCCATCTCACTTTCTGCTCTCACAAATTATCAAATGGACCCCGTAGTTACAGCATATGTTTAACAAATTCGTCGTAAAAATTAACAGCACCGTGAAGAGAACATAATTCCCCTACCGCAATTATCTGGTATATTGCTTTGATACTTTGTGGACCAGGCTGTAACCCCTCACGGTTTACAATGTATCCTTTTTGAAAATTTCACTTTAGAACCGTGCTCCAGGTTAAGACGTAGAACTTCAGGTAGGCTTTTGCAGTGTTGTTCTTTATCTTCACCAAAAAAAAATATCGTCGATATAAGCTGCAACTGCAATCAAACTAGAAAATATTGTTTATTAGAGAATAACCGGAAATGTTTTCACACCAAAAGCCATAGGACTGTAATGATGTAAGCCTTTATGTGTGTAATTGTGGGAAGGTGCTTCGATTCTGCATCAACGTCTATCTGCAGAAAGGTATCCAATAGGTCTGTATGATTGAAATATTTTGTATTTGCAAGTCTTGAGTAAGTATCCTCCGGAAGAGAGAGTGAATACTGATGAGTTTTGGCATACCACACACATATTTATATTCATTGACAGACGGATAGACATGTCTAGATCTAGAATTCCGAAATTAAAATCGGTTAAGAATAGGTTCACTTTGAAGCTTCTTTAAAGACATCGTAAGCAATTTACCAAAATGAATATAACAATGGGAGAATTAACAAAGGGGGAACACTCGTATCGCACTTATGGGAGTATACTCGTATATCTCAACGAATTCGTTATCTATTCATAATTTTAAAGGAGTATCTCTTCAAATGAAAAGTTACATGTGGCATAGCAAAAAAAAAAAGTCCCTGCTCCACTGCAATGTGTTTATCACCATGGAAAATGCGCACCTTGTAGAAATATTTCTTTTTTCTTTTCCTTTCGTACTTCTTTTCGCAGCTTCAACGTGAAGCTCATTTTCTGTTAAGTATTTTTATGCATAAGTACAGTTGTGATATTTAATGTGATGGAAACAGACAACTCTTCTAAAATATATCTTCATACCCACAAAGATCTAAGGTTATTGTGCCAAATCAGTTCAAGACGTATTTTTTGAAAATGAAAATTCGAATTTCTTCTTAAAATGCATGACCTTTGAGTTTTTCAATTATCAATCACACAATTTCGATTAAGACAAAGCGTGGTCTCAACAGGGTAATGCAACACGTCATACATCTGGTAACACCATCCATTTATTGGATCACTTACTTTTTAATCCCTAGAAATTTCGTTGTGAACTCGCCACCAATAGTCTGCGATTTAAGATCGCTTTAGAGTTCTTTCCCTGCAATTGAGATTTTCTGATAGTAAATCAAAATTGCCTCATCACCTTTAAACCAATATTATTTATTCCATTAGTAAAGTAAGTGTCAATTTAGGTGAAAAGGTGTTAAAAACATTTGTTCTGAAAGAATGGAATTTTTGAAAAAAATTCAGTGACAGTCATTTACCTGAAATCTTTTTTAAGCTAAGCTGACATAAATCAATAACTAAAATAAAAAAAATAATCAAATTGCTGTCTTATATGACTCGTTTTTATTTGAAATAAAAAAAAAATCAAGTAAAAAAGTTACGGTCGGGCGACGCCGACCTTTACATACCCTACACCACTTCGCCAAGTACAGCTATTCGCTCGTTTTGGTACTAATACACCAAAAAATACATATTATTTTGATGCAAAGCCAAAGCAGTGTTCGCCTTATGGGCCAAAGTACGTCAGTGGACCAAATTTCATCAAATTATCTCCAAAATTGCGACCTTTAGCTTGAACACAAAAATACCTGCACAGACAGACAGACGGACAAATCGGCTTAGATCAATTTAGAAAATGATTCTGAATCGATCGGCATGATAAAAGTTGAGTCCACCTTAAGCCCTTCTGCAGGTTACATACGTTCGCAGTAACTTAATGTACCCTGTACCATAAGTAGTGTATGGTTTAAAAACCTTACCTATGGATAATCCTATCGGTTTGTTGTAACAACAACTTAATGGAAAAATTAGCAAAAAAAACAATTATATAAAAAAGTTTGTCGTTTTCCAATTTTCACAAATTATAAAAAAGTTTAATTAGTTTTCGATTTTAGTAAAACGTAGAAGTTGATAACAACATTTGTTGCACTATACAAAATGAAAATAAAGCTCGTTTTAATAGACAGACACGCCGGCAGAGTTGCTTACACTAGTTGTCCCATGCACCGATCCCGAATTTTTGTGCTTTGCAAACACTTGGCTGACTCGACCTTTCCTCCGTTCTGCGTAGTTATAAAAAGTTGTCTAGTATCTATGAAAATATAAAAAAAAGGTCCCTTTTGCCCGATTTCATTTTAGTACTATGTCACTAAGTTCTTCAAAATTTCATTGCAGGTTGAAGGCACCTTATCGGTGCAACCTCAAGCTAATCCTGTGCGAGGCTTTGAAGAATACTTTTTAAACTTGACTGTGGAAAATAATCAACGAAATCCTTGGTTCGTAGGTAAGTAAGTGCTAGTAAGCAATAAAGAAAGATCTCAGACCAAAGAAAAAGAGAGAAAATATCAAACTTAATTTTATTCAAAGATAGATTAACTATCGATCTGCGTTTACAGAATTTTGGGAAGATCGTTTTCAATGCCGCTATCCAGGTAGCTCTAGTACACCGTATAATAATTACAACCGTACTTGCACCACCGAAGAACGTCTATCACGTGAGAATACCGACTTTGAAGATCAATTGCAATTTGTTAGTGACGCCGTTATGGCATTTGCTTACGCTTTGAGGTAATCCAAGGAGAAATGCAAAAGCTATAAAGTCGTAAAGAGTAAAATTATTTAAACTTTTTTGAAATGCAGAGACATGCATCGTGATCTTTGTGGTGGCCGACCATCGCTGTGTGAGGCTATGAAGCCAACAAAAGGCGGAGATTTATTGAAATATTTGAGAAAGGTTCAATTTGAAGGTAAGACAAAATAACCAATAGACTCTTGATTAACTTGATTATTCAGAACATGAAAAGTTCACATCAACAAGTTATGTTTCTTGACCAAAGGCGACAATGTCGTTGCGACTGACTCTCAATCAATCCAATTTGAGACAAACTATTGCTATATTCCGCAAAGTGTGTGAAATTAACTTAGAAAAAATTATGTACATATATATATATATATATCCTTTTTTTACCCTACTTCCACTTTTCGGTAAAGATGTTTTGTGTAGTCGTATGTTACACTCAGACAAACTTAAGATAGATTTTAATATATCGATCATTAAGTAATTTCTGAACCGATATAAGCTCACCTGTCCCTCTCCCCGACAGATGAATTTTTGGTTTTATGTTCAGCATACAGATTACAATCTCCGAGATCCTTAAAGGAATTTTTATGCACCGATTTTTCGTTCCTGGCCTAAGTAAGCACCCTATTAAGTAAGTAAAAGTAGAGTATTTGATCGGATCATTGCTACGATCACTTTCCGTTTAATGCCTCATTTTCAAAGAAAATTTGCCAATCGCTGAACAAGTCCATTTACGCTTTTTAAAATGCGGATCGAAAGGAACTGTTCTTTAAACATCTTTGCACATAAGTGCTCATACGAATACCAAGTCTTTGTGTGGCAAATAAACCGAAAATTAGTCCGTCCTAGTAAGCTGAGAAAAAAAATTAATTGTACCAACTTTGGACCACGAAAGTTTATCTCTTGGATATCAACCCAAAGAAGGATACGAAGAGGATGAATGAAAAGTAAGTCAGTATGCGGAAAAAGTTTCTTACATATTCTCACGATGAGACCTTTTACACCGTCGGATGCCGTCACATCCGTTTCTTGGCCCACTCCTTTACAAAGTCTCTTATAAAACGTATGCCTTTACACGAAGGCCAAGTATAATTTTTATCACGACAATAAATACGATATTGTATCAAGCGAAATGATGGGATATGCAACGGTCGGCCTTACCCGACTAAAATGTTTTCATTTGTTTACTGTTTTGTTTTTCCGCGTTTTTACTTTTTTATATTTTTCATTGTTTTCTTTTAGTTTATTCATCTTTCGTTTTGATTTGATTCACTTCAATTAAATTTTTGGTTTTTTTCACTTTTTCATATTTGGTTTAACGGTTTTTTCCTTTATCCGGTTTTCTATATTAATTTTATTAAATATTTTACCATTGGCAAAAATCACTATTAATTTTGTTTTTTTTATTAATGCGATTTCATTTATTTCAGGTTTAAGTGGCGATCATTTTCGTTTCGATAATAATGGTGACGGTCCCGCTCGTTATAATATTATACACTTTAAACAATCAATTGAGGGACAATATCATTGGGTTAAGGTTGGTGAATATTACGAAGGTGAACTAAGACTAAATATGTCGGGTAAGTTTTTTAAATATCTTGTTAGCTAGAAACAAATAAAACCGTATTAAAACCGTATCATCTTTATTGAAAAAAAGCTTTTCTTAAAGAAACGCATTGTTATAAAAACAAAAGGGAAACGTTGCTCCTGCAAGGACAATTGCAATGCAGATTAATAGTTATGTAGCTGTTCATTAAAACATGGTAGTTGAGTAAGGTCGATCATTAACACTAGATTTACGGGAAGCCGTCAATTTAACGGATAACTTTTGTGAATCGTCTTACTCGAATAAATAAGGATAGGAAGATGAGATTTTACGCAATCATTCCTTGATCGATTAAAAAAATATACATCTGAAAAATGCTCATGACTTGTTCACAAACACATCGCACAATGAACTTAACACTAAAACAATATCTAAAAACATCAGAAATGTTTCTGTCAAGTTGTAGCGACTTCAACGGTTCACATAAATTACCCGACAAATTAAAGAGTTTTCGCAAAAATAGGTATATAACATCACATTTATTTGCATCATAATGACATAAGTGGGCGTGTCTAGGAAAGAAATTTGCCATATTATATTAATAAACACCAATATATTGATTTTGCAATTGGTGGGCCAAGACCGGCATCTAAGCTGACAAGAAATAGCGGAGGCGCTAAACCTCAACCGCACGATAGTTTGGAGTCATTTGAAAAGAGTACAAGGCTACAAAAAGCAGTTCGAGACCGCGGAGACTTTTCAGTACAACCTATTGTAACATCTAAAGAAATCGACTTCCTTATGCTGAATTTTAAAAATCGAAATTCTCTCAAATTGACGGACGCCGCAAATCTAGTGTTAGACGCCTTATATCAATTCACCCATTATTCTCATAAGACATATAAAATTTTTCCTTGTATCCATGAGAATCTCATGATCGATGTTTTCCAAATACATTACGATTAAATTCTACGGCCCATTACTCTTTACTGCTTATGCAATAATACCGTCTACATCCTTGCTGTCTGTCTACAGAAAACGCATTAAATTTTAGGCCGTATCGAAAGTATCACTTCAGGAGGATTGAACGCATATGAGGCCGATGTACGTACCTTTGCTGAGCTAGCTAGTTCGTGAGATGACGGAGAGGTTCTACATTTTTGGCTCACTATGCAAAAGAACAGCACGTACTTACCCTTTAACGGATACGCGAAAAGACACAAACTAACCTACCGAACGAGCATCCCTTGTGCTTCCGGGTCTTTCTGTATCCGCCCTGCTTATGCTCTCCTTAAACCCATGATGTCTATGGGAGAAAACGAAGTCGGATCCAAAGACCGCTACCAATTTACCTACCTCTCATTATAAGAAAAGAACTTAGGACATTTTTATATCACTTTAGTTATAAAACATTAAAAGGCAGAGCTTTCTACGAAGCGAATACTTACTTTGCTTAAGACCGATAACATATGAAATCCTTCGAAGAATGGCCTATCTGATCTAAATCAAGTTTTGCCGAGAAGTTTTGAAAATTGCAAACTTCCGCTTAATAAAGCTTCATAGGGGCCGTAGTGGTAAAAATGATTTCAAATCGATCGGTAAAATAAAAGCTGGTTTTTTCTGAACGTTACACACATCCCATAAAAGCAATGCGATTAGTTCACAATGTTAACACAACCCGCAGAAATGTAGATAGCAAATAAGAGGCGATGATAATTAAACTTACGACGCAATCTACTTTAGAGTCTTCTCACTAAAATTTCATTGTTTTAACATTCCACAGAATAATGGGATATTGCAATCAATTTTCAGAGCATGGTCGGTGTGTTGAGGCAGAAATCAATAACAAACGCCTTCAAGTCCCTTATTAAGGGGAAGTAGGAAACGATGGCGTGGGAGAAAATTTATTATAACGGAATGAGTTGTGTTTGAATAATTGAAGTTTCAAACTCGTCCATGCCGTCAGTGGGGTAACACTTTTCTGAGCTGAGATGTTTTTTATCATTAAGGTGTTTTATCATCGTATTTTTTTTCTTTTTATCCCATCGTTTTCGGAAAATTTTGCTACGTGCGTATTATTAAATCTTTTCAAGCTGAAGAACTGAAATATCTTTCTTCTTAAATGCAAATACAAGCAAATCATGTTTCTTTTGTGGTGTAAAATTACAATTTCCAATCATTGCGTTGATTGCGCTGTTTCGAAGAACGAAAAATCTCACTTGGTTAACAAACAGAAGAAATGCACATATATAGTAACCGCGTGATATTTAACTCTGCATACAATGCAAAAGCAAACGTACGGCTATAGAATCAATTCCTTTTAATCACTCATAGTACACCACATATAAGAAATGTAATTATATTGCTTGCACAGTACTACTGATAAGGCTAAAGAAGCTATTCTTTTAATGGCGGATACGAGCGTTGAAGAAAACGCAGAATTGACTCGCGTTATACTTCACGCTTAAATGTATCTATTTGGGCTAATCCTAAGACGCCGTCAGTTTAGCCTTCCACTTCCACATGGATCGTCTCACCGTCTAAACTGTACCTGTCTCTCTCAGATCGGTTGTCTCACCATTCAACGAGCCTGACTTTCTTGAGTAACTGCCTGTACTCATAGCCCCGTTGCACGATTGACTTTTCTTCCTGCCCTTCCTAATTAGTTTAGTTATTTATGCTCTTTGAATTGCATTTGGATATCGGGTCATTCGATAACCAACCCAATTAGTATTCTTGAGCACATGCATTCTCTGTTCGACGACAACAGCAGCAAGATAGAAAAACGAACGGTCTTTTCAATCACTCATCTTGCCAACTGACTTAAGATACTACACGGAGTTAAGTGTTCTGCTTTTTCGAATAATGTTTAAATATCACGCACACTGCGCTATCTAAGCTTCCTTATAATATGAATTTTTCGACTTTGGCCGTCATAACTATTGTAGTGTGATCGCATACTATCGTATTCATCCACTTGAAGTGTGAGAAAATTATGCCACTGCAGGATAATCCTCTTGATAAAATAAAATGTCACGCTTCACTTCGCATGTAAACAGTGATAATTCTGTTTATATAAGAATAATCTAGTGTGTGATAAGGATAATTTAGTAAGCAATTACAATCCTGTTTAGAATAAGATAAGAATAATTTAGTGTAAAAATTTAGTATAAATAGTGCCTAAAAAAATAAAGAAGATCAGTTCTCACAAAGCAACTCAACCAAGCGTTTTACTCGCTAATAGCACTAGGCATTCAATCTGCCTGAACCATTAAGATTAGTGACCGTCTTATGCTGAGACATTTTGGCATTATAAAAGACGGATAGACTTGGCGTACTGCAGCCGAGCAGCATAGGGCCTAAACAGATAAACTAAACACTTCATACTACATCAAACATTATTACACTATATTGCGCACTTTGCTTGGATTCCTGAAGCACCCCATGAGAATTTTTTCTCGATAAATGCCTTTCATCATATATTATATCAGTTATGATAAGGCACGGAATGGTAATTCATGCAAACTTGTATATACAAAATTTACTAAGCACGGACTTTAATAGCCTATAGAAGTGAATTGTGGAGCGACTTAAATAAATTTTCGCATCCTAACAGTGTAATATTTTAAGACTATGTACTTGATGTCTCAAAAAAAAAAAATCTCTCTGCATTGTTTTCCCAAAGCAATATTTTAATTTTAAATGACTTTTTTTTGTTCGTCTCCTTAACGTAACCGACCTACCACCACCTTATCTATATACGAGTTTGTCTATCTGATGTACTTATCTGTGAGCTTATTTACATTTGAATTTAATTTCACAACAATTCCTTGTTGTGCTTTTAAATAATACATTGTCTGTGTCTGTTACGCAATGTCGGTAAAATGAACCACAAAACTTTTCATGCATTCAACACACAACAAGGGTCCTGTCGGTTTCAGGGTGTCGCCCTAAACGCAAACTTTTGTAAATTTTGAGAAAAGTGTAAGTACTTGCGGTTCTACTTCAAGGGAAATTGAAAAAGAACAAAAAATAAAAACAAAATTCAATTTTTTAAATCACATTTTAGCAAACAATTCATCAAACTAAATTATGCAAGTGTATAGGAATGATAAATTATCATGAACATTTTCATGTCATGTCCTCTAAAAGACAGTACAATATGTCTGTTTTTGAGATTCGTATCATTTTAAATTAGATTAAACGAGATAATAATGGAAATAATATAACCGTATATACGTTAATACAATTTCTATTTATATTTTATATTTCAATGTTGTTTCGCAATACCGCAGCGGTTCAATTTAAGCTGTTGCATCCGAAGCCACCTGAGTCCGTATGCAGTTTGCCTTGCGAACGTGGCCAGGCTAAGAAATACGTTGAGGGCGAAAGTTGCTGTTGGCATTGTTTCAATTGTTCCACATATCAAGTAAGTGTATAACGTATAACGTATAACGTAAAAGTGCAAATACATATTGTACGTACGTACGTATGTACATGTACATGCATAAACATGTTCTGCCTTTTCTCAGTTTATAGTTTAACAATGATTTAACACAGTAGAGAAATATAATTTATTCGATTTGTTTTTATTTGATTTGATTTAGAATATAAAAGGAAGAGAAACATTTTACTGCTATTGTTGTTTACTTCAAATTTACCACACAATCTATTTTAAATATGTTTGTATTCTTTTTTATTTTTTATTTTTTTTTGTTGTATTTTTTGTTTTCTGTTTCATTTAATTGAACTAAATTGTTCTTTAGTGAAAATTGATTTATACACTAACAACATAACATTGGCAACTATTGCTACGGCAAATATATTAAAGTTGAGCCACAAGTAACGGAAAAAATTTAATATAGCTAACCATTAATATTGGAAAATTTTTTTTTTTTTTTATTTATATTATATGATATTTATTCAAAGAAATTTTATTAGAATTGTTTAATAAATGGCTTGATTTATATGCAGCTCACATAATATTTTGAAAAATCCGTTTAATTACATCGAGTCCATGCGTGTTTGTTAAAGTATTACTCTTGATTGTAGGAAATAGAAAGATATGTAAGACAGCATGGAACAAATTTGGACATACAATACGCAGTATAACACGCTATAAACGTAAAAAGATCCAGCCCAACCCGAACATTCCGATCTATTACTAAACTCAATTTTTATCCGCTTAGTTATAAAATGCATTAGATTCACGCCTAAATAACTTTGGCAAACCGAGCGTGTTGCATTTACTCTTCGTCATCTTTAATAAGCTTGAACTGGAACCGTTAATAGTCGCGTAGTCGACCTGTATGAACCTAGGTAACCTAATATTATAGTGAAGGTTAGGTTATTTAAGCGCACTCAGGAAGTTGGAAAAAGCAGGCTCTGGCCCGTTTCACTCTTAAATATAAAAATTTCTTTCACAACTATGAGGTCGTCGGCTAGAGAGCGCCTTAAGTGGAAAAAACGTGGCCGCTAGAATATTATCAAAAAATTATGACCGCATTAAATAACCTAAATAAACTTACTCTCGAAATTGCTCTCAAACTTACTCCCGAACTTACTCTCGAACTTACTCTCAAATTGGACCGAATGATCGAGTCGAACACGAGTTGCAATTCCGGGGAAGATCCACGATTTCGATCGCATATTTTCGACTTCTTTGTTTTTTTGACCCCATAGGTCGTAACAAATAAATAATCTTCCTCAACGCCGCCTTGCTTTAATCTGTTTACACAACAATTTCAGACGAATTTTGTGAGCCGACAACTTTAGCTTATAATTTCGACATACATGGTTAAAGATAATCGCTTGAATTTTAACTAACAATGATTTTGTTTATACCCGCTTAAACTCGATATCGTTGTGTATTTTGGAGCAACAACATCTAAAATCTAAAACCTGTAATTGTTAGTGCCACTTAACAAAGCCTTTACTTTGATTTCAAGGTCGAGAGATCATACCCTTTAACTAAGACTCTAATCAAACGCGGCCCCATTAACATTGTTAAATTCTTGTACAATAATACAAATAATGGAGTCATTCGTAAGAGTCATTATCAACATATATACAAGAACGTTCCTGTTCATATTGCAATGTTTATAAGTACATTCGCATGACAACAATGTTCTTTCGTTTTTGCTTTCTTTTATTATTATAAATACTGCAAGCTTAGATGTTCTCCAAGAATATGATAGATAAAAATATAAAAATTAACTGGAAATATTCATTGAAATATCAAACGCAATTACTTGCATTTATTGTCACTTCCAACCAGAACATAATCTTTTAGCAGATCTAAAGAAAGAAAAATGTCATTATAACTTCATAGCCGCGATTGTTAGGAGCTTTAAATGGAAGTTAGCGACGAGACGATATCAAATTTTCCGTATGAGTAGCCGCGTAGGTAGGAAATGCGGACGCAAATGCAAGGTGCGCTAGAGTTTACTTCGGTCGTAGCTATATGTATAACACAGTCGCCAAAGCCGTAATACTTAGCCATTCTGCGCTTAACCATGGCTGCGGCCGCCATCTTCTTGTCTGTTTTTGCTTCCACAATTTCTTTCTGGCCGTCATCGTGTTATGCGGATAGGATACATATCCTAAGCGACTGGTCATGTTTTCTTCTTAAACATCTCGACAATCTTTTCTTCACTTATAAAAAAAATATATTGTAATGTAAACAGTCTTTCGCAATTTTACTTTATTTATTCAATTTATTCTGAAATCAGTTCGTACCATTGACTTTTAGGATTATAGTGAATTTATGCACAATTCTTAGCAGATCTATCTACAAATTATACACAGGAACTCCCGTTCTGATCCTGTCCGTTCGAATATTGCAATTCAACTCTCATGACGCGACGCGTTCAACTCACTTTTTACCCCCTGCCTTCTGCAAATATTCGGCTTATGTACCTTTTTGTGAAGAAGTTACAATCAACTAAATTTGTCACGACATTTGTAATTCGTTTTTCCGCCAAGTTTCTGCTAATTTCGCGATTCGCTAGCTATATGAGGCAAATAAAGAGCTATGAGTGTGTCCTTGACTTTTCCTTTTTTTAAAGTTTTGCATTTTCATAGCATGATATTTACGTTAATACATCGATCAATAATTTTCGGGACTGGCTAATGACTAATTTTTATGAACACTTTTTTTTTTTTTAAGTAACGTAGTGTAGGTATGTTCCCCAATAATATATTGTATTTTTCTATGGATTTGCGATTAGATGTGTCTATGAGTTGCTATTAAGAAGACAGGCTCACGTAGATATTCACTCTTACAATTAATTCTTAGAAATAAAAGTAAAAGTTTGAAGTCGTAAAATTACAATGCAATATACATATAGTTATGGCAAGCTTCACATATACATCACAACTTCTGAATTATCTTTCATAATATTTTAAGATTTTTTAAACCTTGTCTGTCTCTTTTTGCTTTTTTTGACCGTGCGCTCACTTGAAAGTGGCTTAATTATTGGTCAGAAGCAAAGTGTGGCCAAAGTACAAAACAAAATCATTACGCTAGCACTCGTAGACAGCATATTATATATATATATATATATATATATATATATATGTAAATTTAAAATATTTTTTAAAACTGAAGAAAAAACCAAGGGAATGGGCTGAACAGTCATCTACATTGTTAACAACATCGATTTGAACAAAGTGTGTAATAATACATGTTTAATTTTCATTGAACAAGATGCAAGTGCAAAAGTGCAAAAACTCAACACTTGATTGTCGGCACATGAGATAAAACGAACGAAAAAGAAAAGTCTTCCATTTATTTTACGACAAATATTTAAATATCGTGATATCGACTTAAACATCTTTAATTTGCAACTTCTTTTATGTACATATATATTCGTAGATACGCCATCCATTGGATGAAACTCAATGTTTAACTTGTCAACTTGGTACATTGCCCGACGTAACTAAGCAAAACTGTCAGACCATACCCGAGGTATATTTACGGCCAGAATCTGCTTGGGCTATTGGCGCAATGGCATTCAGTTCTACCGGCATATTGATAACATTGTTCGTAATTGGAGTATTTGTCAGGTAAGCTTAAGAGCGATATTTATGCTCGTTGAAGAATTTTGTCTGTGTTTGCAGTGTGACAATTTTTTATGTTTGGAAATGTAAAATCTTTGCTATCTTAAGAGAAAAAGAAAATACAGGAAATAGTACTAAAATTCAACATTTTGTCCATTTTGAAGTAAGAATTCTTACCCAAAAATCCAGTCATAGTGGAATAACAACAATTTAAACATGGTCTTGCTTGACAGGCATTGCGGGAAAGTAACCAAAAGCAATTGTTTATCGTTTAAATTTTTTTTCAAATATTTTTCCTTTCGTAATAAATCAAAGTGTTTTCAAAGTGTTGGCTTCGCATAAGTAAATCGATACCAAGAAAATTATCGTCTTCACAAGTGTTGTGCAGCGACTTGAAATGAAAAAGCAAGTATGCTCTAGATAACAACTACATCTAACGATGGACGTAGAATATAGTAAATAGAAAGTAGTGGAGAGTGAGTAGAAGATAGCGAGTGCCAGAGATAGCGAGTAGCGAGAAGCGGATAGCAAACAGTCGATGACGAATATTGAGTGGCGAGCAGTAGTTAACGAATAGAGGATAGCAAGTAGCGCACAGGGAGTAGGGAACAATGGGTATCGGATGGCAAATAGCAGATGATGAGTACCGAATAGCGAGTGGCGAATAGTGAGTAATGCAGAAACCACTAGTCTAACTTTCTAAGCGCTGCAAAGTTATTATTTTAATGGACAACATCTTGGGTGAACTTAATATTTTAAATTAATTCGTGCGACTCTAGTGCCGGCATAGCCATCAGTTCGCTCTCCTTTGGAAAAAGCGGACGACTCACGTCTCACATGTGACGCTACTATGAATGCCTCCATCCAATTAACTGATGGTTTACTTGTAAGCACACTTGCTTTTTTTCAGTATTAATTTGCGTAAAACCCTATGTGTTGCAGCGCTTTCAATACCGCTAAGAGCGACGTCGTGCATCATAGCATACGGTCTTGACGCCTACTTTAAATTCATTTACCAACTAATCACGGCCTCTAAGTCAATTATTTACGCCGATTTTGTAAGAAACTTGATCACGCTTGACTTGTCCATACGTCCACCTGCTCTTTAAAGCTATAATATATAATAGCTTTTAGGCGATCACGGGATTTTTGACAGACTGCAGTTCTCATGTAAACGAAATTAAAACAAAGTGGTGGACTTAGTCACTCACGTAATTGCCAAGTTTTTCATTGAGAACATAGTAGCAGTAGGTTGATATCTAGATGCAAGAATGCTATGCGAAACTGAAACGAAAGAAAAAAAAGATTGGCTTCCAATTTTTCTATTACATTTGCTGCCATGCTTTACTGCTTTATTTTGCTTTCGATGTATTTCTATTTCTCTTGTGAATTTGTACTAAATTTTATCTACAATGATTATGATGTTAACTTTGGGGAATTGTTCCCTTGTCTTTGGCCTTGTCATGTTTTTGTCACACTCTGAACAAGTTTTCTTTTTCTTTCATTGTTCTCGTCATTCGTCTCGGGCTTTTGCGATATATGTGATAAAATCATAACAACAATAATGATAACACTGACGACAATAATGATGACGACAACAACAGACACAATGATACTCCAATTGTTAGAGCATCAGGACGAGAACTAAGCTATATACTCTTGGCTGGCATACTCAAATGTTATGCGGTTACCTTTGCGTTAGTGCTGAGGCCCACAAATGTCGTTTGTGCCATACAAAGGTAAGTGAATGGTTGCGGTTTTTTCTCGGTTCACATGTTCATATATGTACATAGTAAAGAAAATTGTGCAATACGAACTAACAACTATGTAAATGTTGTGCACTTCGAATCGGATACGTACACAAAAAATGTTAGAAAATACTTTCTTGTTGCTTGTAGTTTTCGTGCGGTTTAAATGCGGTAGAATGGTAAAGTAATTAATTTGTTTTGCAAAGTCTGAGCTAAGAAACATGAAATTTTATAGATAGAAGACAGATAGCAAGGAAATGTTCAAACAAGGGGGAAGAAATTGTGAAAATACTGCCACTGAGAGAAGCTAAAGACATTAGGAACCCATTATTGTGAACCATTAATTTATTTATACATCCGCATA